TACACTGGTTGAGATTTTCAGCTGCATTTGTCATTCTGCATAACATATTATGGGATATGAAAGCTATGCAAAACTAAAGAAGGATTGTTTTGTAAAGCAGTGACATAGCAGCAAAATAATTTTAAAAAAGCATTACTTAATTGAAGCCATTGAATATCACTCAGTAAAACACACATCTCCGAGCTTTGTATAAGAATGGGTGGAAGCTCTGCTAATGATTATTATCATTATCAATTAAAGCAGTATGGATTTTTTTGGCCATTATGAGACAGCAGAAAGAGCTGTAAACAACATTAGCATTTAATAATGAGTTATTTATTTGAACCATAAAAATTATTTAGATTTTTAATCAGTATTGAATTGAAAGAGAGAAAAATTAGGAACCTTTTAACTATTTTGCTTTTTTTTTTTTTACTTGATAAATGACTAAAACAATCATCAGAAATTGAATTAATGTGGTTTCTGTCCAGCAAATGATTGAGTAATCCACCGATTGTTAAAGCCCCAGACTGCAGTGATTTCACACCACCCACCTGCCACAATATTCACCCTCACAGATTTTTATTTTCAGCTGAGCAGAAAGTCTCCATAGTCAGTCTGTTTAACATTTAGATAGAATTAAGCAACAACAGCCTCATCACATCTCATCAGGTTATTGATCCTTCAAAGAACGGACTTTGTCAGTGTCAAGCGTACACCTTCTCTCAGGACAATAAACATGTTGCAGAACAGAAAGTCCCGCTGCTCTGACAAGACAAGGGTCACAGATACAACTGTCCAGCATCCTCCCCCTCCACACCCTCCCTTTTACTTAAAACCCCCCTACATTTTGATGTTGAGCCAGTAAGTGGGACCTCTTTGGGGAGACAACAAGTGACCTCAATTCAATCTGACATCCCACCTATCGATCTCGGCTGCCGTATCCCCCAGAGACAGACGTCTAGCTCACCCTTGTATAGTGCTAACATTTAACAACAAGACAAAACATGCCTTTTTATTAAACAAAATCCGTCCATGTCTCACCACCTCTACCGTAGTCTAAATTACATACCCAGCGACCTGCTTTCACGGGCCTTCCTCCTCCCACGTAGGGCACTGTTCATCTTCGGTGGGGCCCTTTTGCTAAATTGAAAGTGTGTCATAACAAATAGAGGAGGTGTCTGGCTTAAATGCATGTGACTGGCGCCGATGTCATCTCTGTCAAAGGAGCATCCCTTGTATTTTTAACAGGGGGACTGTGACATGGACCCAGGACAATTACTGTCAGAGCACACAGGGTGATGAATCTGCCGCCTTATTGTGTTTGTCATCTCGACCTCTGGCTGCAACCTGATTGGTATAGTCGCCTACCTACGGACGGTTCAGATGGATGCTTTGTTCCTCTCCTGCATGTGTGAATGTGTGCATCATAGCACTTATACTGCGACTGAATTGACTCTCCCTTGGTTTGCTGTGTCAGGGGGGAGAAATATGGATGTCAAAATGAGTCATCCATTTAGAAACAAATATAACACCTATGCTTGCAAAATTATTGGTTGCATACATTTTGTGTATTGCCTTTAAATTTAACTTCACATGTTGGCTTTTACAGTGTAGATATAGTGTAGAAGATTTTTGTTTTTTTATATGGAGCATGTTGGAAATGAAAGTCCCATAGTATTTTGCTTTTTACTTCTTTTGACAAGCAAATTAATTTAAACAGATTTTACATCCCCATACAAGATAAATGTTTTGTCTGGTGCAAGAAGGTGCTGTTCACCATATGTTACAGTGGAAAAGGTCATCTTGCTATTGTTCTGAGAATATGTTCTCTACAAATAGAGAAACATGTTTTCCCTCATATTAGTGTATAATGTAGACCTACTGTAATAACCACATATTTGTAATATGCAAAGTAATTTGCCCACAAAGACATAAGCTGTAATTGCTGCACCTGGTTCTGATATTTACTGGCTCTCATTTGTATCTTGAAGCAACGTATTTTGCGTTTATGGTCTATGCTGAGCCCAGTGTTTGCCATAAATGGCAGGTGTGCAAAATTGAAGTGCAAAAGTAATTCAGCTCCTGCCATTCAAAGGAGCTATGTCAGTTTGATTTACCTGTACACATAAACATGCACACACACACACACACACACACACACACACACACACACACACACACACACACACACACACACACACACACACACACATACACACACACACATACACACACACCTTTGGGCCACATGTGTTTTTTATATTCATATGGTGAAGGAAAAAAAAATGTGCGCCTCCAAAATGGAGGTTGAGGGGTCATGGTGTTTGGCCAGGAGTGACAGCTCTGAAATGAAGGCATAAGTCAATCGGCTACTCTTCATACGCACACACACTCACGCACACACACACGGGTTGGGGCGAGAGGCAGGACGGCGGTGGGCGGTTAGGATGGAGGGTGGGGATTGAGGGATGGGGGGTGCTAGTTGGAGGAGGGGAGGTTGGGTGTAAGGGGCACAAGGTTACTGTGGGGAGGTGTGCTTGTGTGTGTGTGTGTGTGTGTGTGTGTGTGTGGTGAGAGGGAGGGAACTTGACATCATGTTTGAGACTCTAAAAGCACAAACCTGTACTGTCTATGTTTCTGTCTTTCTCTTGTCAAGCCTCTGCTGTGGTCTCTGTAACTTTTAACACTGAAAGCTGGCCGCAGCTTTATTCACCCAAACTTAAACACCATGCACACACAAACACCTAGTGACACACCTTGAACCCAAAGGTCAAAGACCATGTGTGTTCTTTCTCTCTCCCCCTCTCTCCCACACGCACAAACACAGACACACACACCGGGTCATGGTGTTTGTTTACTTCTGTCACACACTAAGCAGGCCTGTATCAACATTTGGGCTGCATCCCAGCATGAGTGCAGGGAAACCCCTCCTTGGTTTAAAATCATTGATTGATCCACAGTATTGATTGACACATGTGCCTCTTTCCCTCATTGAATCAAAGTTCTCATTGGAAAAATAAATATCTGCAAGCCAGCAGTAGCATTATTTATCCTGAATGATCTGAGGTGTTTTATTGGTGTGAACAATAAAAATATATATTATTCATAGCAGATTTCAACACGGTCAACAGCAATCAGAATCAGAAGATAAACATTTTCTTCTGGATTGGACAAGAGGCATTCCACAAAAAATACAATTTAAAATAATAAAGATGTATCTTTTGTAATTGTACATAAAGGTAATTTCAGACAGCGGGTGGTAGCTGTCGCTGACACTTCCATTGTTTTCAATGTAAACACAGTGGCCAACCTCATCAGCAGCGGCAAAGAGGGCCCAGGTGGCTGCTGCTCTTATGAACATGCAGTTATTTGCCACTACATTCCCGGTTTATGATGATTAACCATTTTCAACTTGCCACCATGGCATGTGACCATAGCAACCACAGAAACCTCAGTAAGGGAAACAACATAGGATCTGATTTTACAGGCATCCAGGTTCCAGAAATTATACACCTCTTCACAAGCAGAGAACAAACATCTATGAAGAGTCTGTGAGCAGCATCAGCTTCAAAGTCTGATTATGTGGGACAATAAAGAATATTTATGGTACTACTTAGCAAAACCTGCTCTATTATTCTTGTCATTATGGTAGTTATTTCCTGTATTCAAGATACAACCTGCTCTGTTCAGCTGTGTGTGATTATACTTGGTGGATGTCAGCAGCCTGTGGTGTACAGGCTGGTAGGATCGGAGATAGCGGGGAGCCACAGCAGCGAGATTGCGTGCTGCATTCAAAGTCCAGAACATTGTCATTGATGGTGGGCAGCTGCCACAGCAACCACCTTCTGTCTGAAAGTACCATAATGGTTGGAGCGCATATAACATACAGCTGAAGTTTCAGTTCTGGCCAGAGATACATATGAAACCCATTTCGCTACACTTTTTTTCCTTTTTGCCTCACTGTCAAATAAAAGCAAAGATAGCAACACAAAATAAAATAAAGTAATAGAATAGTTAAACACTGTCTTAGCAAGGATATATTTTAAAGGGGAACGCCACATTTTATACAGTTCAATTTACTGATCACAAGGAGTAATATTCAGCCTATGTTATATGATGTATTCAGTGGCTCTGGAAGGAGCTTTTTTTTTATGTCTGAGGTATAACCAAGATGATGTCCTCAGGTTTATCTGAGCAAATTCAACAGAAAGCTTGTGTTACAAACTGGAGGTGTGGAGTTTATGAGGCAAGGAGGGTCTAATAGAGTTGTGAAATGGGATAGAAGTCCCATTTATTTTCCCATAGACAATGTTACGTGATTCACAGTTGGAGAATGTCAACGGTTTCAGTGGGAGTGAATCATCAGTACAAAAGATGAACATCTGTATTAGAAAACATTTGGTTTTTTGATTAAAAGTCCAAGATACAAGCCTGTGTACAAAAGTACCTCTGGGAAGAAGTTTACTTTAACTTCTGGCAAGAAATGTCCCATCTCTGAGCTTAAAATTCTGTTATGTGTGCACTGCTGAGAAACCTATCAATATCAGTCTATTCAGAGCTGTTCACCATGTCAACCAGACAAAAAACATGACTCCTCAGAAAGAAAGTTGAATTAATTAAAACTGATGGCTTAAACTGTAATTACTGGGGTTAAATAAATGTACAGGATCGTTACGATACCTGGGAGAATTACGTGTTTCTTTGTTGACCAACATTAAGGAGAATGTTTAAAGAAAAATTTGAAATTGGAATACAGAACACTTTGACTATATAAATCTCTATTAATCAAAGATTATTTTTGGCTTTTTGTTAGCATTTTTTTTTTGTTTTGCTAGAACTGTGTAAAGGTTTAAAATACTAAGAATAGTTTGTGCTTGATTACGGTTATACAGACTGCAGAATAGTGAAGCCAATAACCAAACTGAACTTGTTTAATTGCTGTTTAACACTTTGTGTGCTGCTTTGAACAAATGTATGTACTGTTCTAATTATATGACAGTAAAAGACAGCAGAAAACCTTCTGTGAACAACAGAATTTTATTTCAATTAATGGATAATCCATATTTCCAAACAAAAGGGGATAAAAACAAACTCATAGAAACTTTCTGTGAATTCATTTATCAACAGGCAGTTTTCTAAGGTCCCAGATGGCTTTTCCAATACCAATACTTGATGCTGATACCACAGTGCCATGTTGGAAATGTGAGACAGGTTGTCAAAACAAACTTGCTTCCACCAACAGGAAGACAAAAAAAATTAAAATAGTCCTAAACTAAGTCACAGTCATAAGTCCAACTGGGATAATATTGTAACATAGACTGAGGTTTTCAGAGGTTAGTGATACTTTTCTCTACGGTATCGTTACGATAAGCTCAAATGACATGAGTCGAGGGGGTTTTCCCTACATGACAATATCATCAGGAAGTGGAAAAGAACTCGCATGAGGTCTAAAAATGAAAGTGCTGATGATGTTAAAGCAGAAATATCTGTGCTCTTTCACTGACAACTGACACATTGAAAATCTTTGTATTTGTACTTTTCTATGACTTCATGTGCACATTAATCATTTTCACATCATGTGAGTTCATTTCCTCTACTGACAGGACATAATACCTGTTATAACAGGTAACGAGAGATTATGGCACAGTCATAAGATAAATGCTCAGTGACAAAATCTTTGTTCTAAGGCAAGTACAGCTAGTTTTGTAAAATGCTCCATCCCAAATCCAAAAGCTCCAATATTGACAATCATGACTAAAAAACAACAATGAGGATGAGTTTTGCCACTCCTGTGATAAAACATGTAAGGAGTTTTAATGGGCCTTTTGAATAAGTAAAAAGGTAGATCGATCAAATGGCATAAGGGTAGCAAAAATCTACCAGTGCTGTGATTTTACAGGAGTGAATAAGTGTAGGTTCTGACTAGGTTACAATGCAAGTGCCTAAGCTTTTATTTGTATTTTTTTTAACAGACTCCTTTTCTCCCCCTGAGACCCAAAAACAAGCATATAGTCAAATTATAGACAAACCAAACATTAAATTTTCATCACCAACACTACCACAAAAATATCCAAACAATATGCATTTTTCAGCTTTGGCACAGGCTGCTGATAAGTGTAAATTTTGCTGGGTTTGTCTTTTTGCTCTTGTACTGATATTGGCATGTCTGTCTGTCTGTCTGTCTGTCTGTCTGTCTGTCTGTCAGTCTACCCACCCATTGAACCTGAGCTTTTCCCATTGAACCCTAATACGCTATAGATGCCTATGAATCAACGATATACTGTACATATGGACACAATCATGAGTTTTCTCTCCATATAAACAGTGCTAATACAAACACACACATTAAAACATGTCCTCTGCAAAAAGTCAAAGACATTTTGGCATTTGTCTTTTTTTTTTAATGGCTTCTGGCTTTATTCAAAAATTGGTAAATATACAATGGGCCTTGTGCTCTTGGTCGTAGAGTCCTATTGGCAAAGCCCTTGCTCAGTATTCGCCATACTGGGATGCTTGTACACAGCCTCTGTAAATATAGGCATAGCACCAAGCACCAACAATAAAGCAAATGTTTTGTCTTTTGCTGCCACTGTTTTCATGTGGTTTGAGACTGACATCTGAAGTGAGTCCAACAGACCTGCTGGTGAACTGCGCAATAACCCGTTCTACCAACCTGTCCATCTCGTGCCACATCTCAAATGCAGACTGCACCATCGGCTGAGGGACTGCAAACGGGCCACCTAGTCTTTGAAATGGCCATGGTGAATGATTGGCTGGCTTGTGTAACCGGGACAGTAACAGATGATACTGTCAGTCTGTGTTTTTGAGCGGAATGGTGGAGGGAGATGCTTCCTCTAGGAAAACTGAGAAGTTGAATGCAGAGAATGAAGGGAAGGAAGGATGGATGAGTAGTCAGATGGACGTTCAGTCTGAATATGTCCCGCAGCTTCTCTTTCGTCTGTCTCTCCACCTCAGGGCCCGTTCTCGTTGTAGTGGAGGGAGATGGGCCGGTCGCGCTGCACGGTGGGCATGTAGGGCCAGTTGTAGCTGGAGCCCGAGAGCAGCATGTCGCGAAGCAGCGTCTCGATGGGTGTTTTGCCTACCAGGCGAACGAAAAACAGCTGCTCGATGACCGGAGAGGAGACGATGCGCAGGGAGGGCAGTCGGAGGAGGAGACGTCCAAAACGGTTTGGCTGACTGGGGTACTGGTTCCTTACATACTCCTCCAGGGCACATTGGGACTTTTCCTGGATGCTCTCCACATGGGCAACATCTGACAGTCCCATAGCATCTACAAGAAAGGAAGAGAACATAAAGATTTATGGTTTATCAGTGGACATAATTCTTATTATAGTGACTGAAAGAACCAAGAACATAAACTGAATCTACAAAATATGAGCAAAAAGTAGTCCCTGCATGAAATTGATGGAGATGGAGATGCATTTGGGTTAAATTAATAAAGTGGACCTCTATTACAGTTCAACAAAGTTTTTAACAGCTGAAATGCACAGATATTGCCCTGCTCAAGTGCAGTTTTATATGATGGATAGGGGTGGCTAGTTACTACAAATCCCATTTGGATCAATTTATGTAGTTACTCCTTTTTATTATCTTACAGGGAGAGAAACGAGAGGGATTGTGTCATAAAAATACTCTACTTTAGCATGTAACAAGAGAAATGAACAATTAACACAGGGACACAGGATTAGAACTTAGATTTTACGAACCCTTAGAAAAGTTCCCATGAAAACACAAGTTAGAGAAGTCATAGCTTGTAGTCATAAAATCTGATATATTAATCTTTCCGTTGAGGCCTTGTGAAGTGCCATAGACACAGAAGGGCTTGTGTTCCTCTATGCATCCACTGCATGGAACAAATGATAAGCTGTCATGTCCGATGTTTATCTATCTTTTCTATCTGGTTGTCGTAGTCTGAAACTTTAATTTCACAAGAATTGAACCTAAAGATTCAAAATTGTACTTTGATACATTGCAGACTCAGAGTGGGTGGCTCATTGGGAAGTCTTGAACTGATTCTGTACATGCACTTTAAATCTCATCTAGTTGATTAAAAGAGATAAACGAGAAAGATGACACAGAAGGATAATAAAGTTTTTTTCCTTTCAAATCCCTTTAAACCTGAGAAATCTTGCTCAAACTTGAGGAAATAGAGGTTGTCACAGCAGAGATACGTATCTGCTACACCCCTGTGGTCTGTGTTCACAGCACACTACACCGTTCCCATTCCCCGCAGCTGGAGGTCATGTTCTGCCTCCCGCCTCCTCACACCTCCCCTCCTGCCGGCCCCCGCTTTGGCAAGAGTCTCGCACAACCGAGAGAGTGTGTAACACTGTGAGGGATACTTTTCGCACCCTCTGTGTGCAGGGGAGAGCGCAGGGGATTTAGCAAAGGAGGTCAGGGATGTGTGAACTCAAAACAAAGACACATTTTACTGTACTCCGCCACATACTGTACATTCAGTGGGAGAACTCTCTGACTCTGCCCCCTGAATGAACCCTAATTTGAAAGGCAGGTTTTCGATGAGGGCAATTTCTTCTCAAGCTCGGTCTTTAGTCTAAAAGCGCTGGCCCGTAGGTTTTAACCTGTCACCTTGCATCGTAAGTCCCCTTTGTCATCTCACACTTTGATCTGTCCCCTGTGTAAACCCTGCCCTACAGTTCAGGAAACAAAAAAATTTAATTTACCTCTATATTTTAATTGAGTGTGTCAACCCCCTCCCCAACCCCAGCGGCAACTATTCTCATCATTCTGAGTGAATAATTGCTCCCACTTCAGCTGTATTTCTGTCCACGCGGGGAGCAGATGGACTGCTTTTTTGTCGGGGCGCCATTTTGGGTCCTGCGTGACAAGGCAGTCACTGGCTGTTTGGGATTAGCAAAGCTGTCTATGTGACTGAAACCACTTCGCGTGCCGAAGCGACAGCTCTGTGGGCGCCCTTCCACGCCAAGCGTCGTGTTCTTTTGTCTGATCCTTGGGCACACACCGGGTCAGTGGGGGCGAGGGATCAGGGTGGCAGGACTGAGATGCCCGTACTCTGATGTGGCTTGATGGGACTGGGCTTCACAGAGGGAGAGGAGGGAGGGGACTCAGAGGGAGGTGAGAGACGATTGGTGTTTGTCTGAGCCTGTTAGCTCATCCTACCAGGTCTGCAGGAGTAAGGTTTATTAACGGGTCTATCTAATGTGTGTGTGTGTGTGTGTGTGCATGTCTGTCTCCATTAAATTCAAATTTCTGCATTACTATTTGCACGTTTCACCTAATATATAGTCTTCTTTTGGCAAGACACTGTGCAATTTTTGTGTGTATACATGTGGGTACATCTGCCCGCACACAGGGAAGTCACATGGGATGCTCAGGGCTACAGGGGTTATGTAGGTCACGGCCGGGGCTGTGGCGAATCCTTCGTCTCACTGGATCCCACCATACATAATTCAACTCCCATGGTGGGGGCAGGGGTCCCGGGGCCTGGGCAGGGCTTGGGGTTGGGTTTGGGGAGCATAGGGAGGAGGGGTAGATGACTGGTTTCAATAATAGATGGGATCATGAAGGAGAGATGGCTGATGAAAGCAAGGAAGAGAAGGGAGAGGTGGATTCACAGCCACCCACATACATGGAGGAGAGATGATAGGTACATGCAGAATGAATCTGACAAGCCATGCAAGGGAGAAAAGAGGGGAAATGCAATAAAAAAAAACACCGATAGGAGACATCTCGGTGTTGGCTTCTTCACAATCCGTTTCCCCCTGGGTCACAAAGCATGATCTCTTAGTGAAGTATCCCAGATGTGACAGTATTTTGGCTGGCACTGGAGCCCAGTGACTGTTGGGATAAACCTCAACAGGGTTTGTATATAAGCAGTATCAAAACAATTCCTATCTCATGGGTTTCCTCAAGATGTCAAACCATTATATTTTTATTTAATCTCATTTGCAGCTCAGTCGGGAGTGTCACACGGTGTGGGTTTCACACCATCATCAAAAATATAAGACTACAGGTAATGTTAACTAAATATCACAAGGGAGCAATTTTAGCAGATCATAGCTGCTAGTGAGATTTTTTGATAAAGATGTATACACATATGAATTGGTGGGTTCAGATAACATGTGTGTATCTATACAATAACAATGTACTACATGGGCAGAAATTGAATTACAGCAAAGGAGCACTCAAAGATAAATAGAAAGGTAAAAGCTTCAAGTAAAAGCTTACGGTTAAATCCATCACAGAAGTGATTTAAGTAAGGTACAAGCAGCTTCTCACGGGGTCAATAGTGGCCTTTTACAGTATGAGGGAGCGATCAAATTACAGTCAAATTCATGGAGGGCAGAGACCATGACTGACTAGTGGGAGGACTGTAGCAGCAGCATTTACATATGGAGCCAATGAGACAATATCTGCTGCAGCATTAGAGGTCAAGTCTCGGTCAGGCTCAGAGGGGGTGAAAAGGTTGTGGGTTAAGTACAGTTGAAGTTGGATTCATGTGTCTGTGAGCTTAAACTGGATTGCAACACGTCAGAGGAAAGAAATGTTTCTTGTCACTAATAACCTCTGAGTAACTTCTTATTCTTCTGTGTCAACTAGTAATGGTCAAACTTTACAGGAATTTGTTTTTTCTTGGTGTGTTTGTCAGACCCTACAGAACAAAATGAATGCTTGCAGGACTTTTTGGCATCTTACTTAGTAAACAATAATGCTGCTAATTAAAACTTGAAACTGAATACAAAACATTGCTGGCTTCATCTGTGTGTTGAATGTCTTTTTGTCATTTAGACATAGGTGTCTGTTATGTAAATGTTAATTATATTTTCTCACAGCCTACCCCACTGGATTTGAAAACTTATTTTGGCATTGAAACTTAACGGCCGCTGTCAGTGTGAGAGATGCTTGCTTTCTCTTCTCACAATGGATCCGCTGAAATATTTTACTCATTTTATGAGATAGAGATTTCTGCTGCCTATTTTATAACGTCCAACAGTGTACAAGCATAGAATGACAAGATGTTTGGCTCACGTTAACTTCTATTTGCTGGATATTCATGCATGTCCCGCACCACAGGCATCTTTGATCTGACATGAAAAGCATATCTTCACCAATTAAAATTCATCTGTGTTGGTTCCTGCCTTTTTTTGTGCAAAGGAGATGATGATTGAGAGATACATTTATTACAGTGCTCTTAATAAGGCAGAACAAGACATGCATTTAATGTAAGAAATCAGCCTGTGCTGCTGCCTTTGCCTTAATCTGATGGCATTCAGTTCAGACTCGAGACCAACATGTGCCATCAGATTTATGTGACAAGGTGCATGTCTGAAAAGGGCTTCTGTTACACATTAAAACACTGAATCTGAATTAGTTGTTTAGTGTAAATTAGCTTTGAGCCCAAATATATTTTCTCAAGATTGTATTAACAGCAAGTATTTTCATGTGTCTTAGCAACAGCAGCACTGTTGCACGATACAGCAACAACAATATAAGACGATAAAAATGCCTTTTAAATTCTTAATTCTATATTTTCAATAAGCATTTATCTACATTTATTATGTATTATAGAATTAAATTATAGTACCCCCCCCCCCCCCCTTATAAATATGTCATGTTATGACCCGCCAGTTTACCATGGCTATGTGGCTATGTTTAAAATAACCCTTCCATTGACCATTTCTCTAACTCAGGTTAAGCTGTTTACATGTACTTTGATACTCTGCGTGATTGTCCTCATTAACATAAATAAACCAATTAGCAGAATGTTCCTGCGCCAACGGAAGTCAGCTCACCCACCTACTAATTAAAGTAAAGTTCCTCACAGGAGAAAGGTGGTGTTGAACAAAATCGACCTATAATCCTCTGTGATCCTCTGTGGTTAGTGTAGAGGGAAAAGATCGAGTGAAAGGACTGTTTTCTTTTGCAAATCAACCTGAGTTAGTCTCAACAAATTACTGACATTAGCTGACATGATAATTTTACTATTGACTGTTACAACTGTCTTTTTATGTTTTTTGTAACTACCTTTTATCCCATGACATCAAGTTATTTGTTTTCTTAGAGAGGTAGGGCTGGTTTAGGAACCACTGCCAATGAGGGACTTTAAAGCGTATTATGATATTGTGATTTTAGGTTGTGATATTACTGTAAACATGGACTTGGCTTATCAAACCAAATTATCTAGCATGCAATCTGTAAATGTGTCCATGAGATATAGAATCCATAAGAATAAGGTATGAGTAGACCTGCATCAAAGTCCCACCAAGTGATACCAAAGATTTGACATTTTTGTGTCATTAATAATTTTAAACTTTACTCACTCTGGAGCCATCCACCACTAGTTAAATCCTGCTTCAACATCCTTTTCAGTGATTAACGTATCGTTATAGACCCAAGCTCCTTCACCACTGACATTTCATGGGGTTTTCCTGTGACTCTCTGCTGTTTGTATGATGCATGTGCTTCATTCAAACTCACCGGAAGTAAAGAGCACGATGGACTTGAGACAGGAATATTCAGCCGTGTCGACCTGCAGGGCCTTCAGCTTCTCCACCTGCTCTTGGAAGACGCGGATGTGGTCCATGAAGGCCACCACGCGTTCTGCCGACATGGGCGATGCATGCAGGCCTGCCGCTGCCAACAGAGGGGCCACATGAAGCGGCATGGAGCACTGGGCAGCGTTGAGGACGAAGAGCTCGCTCCATGACATACGTAACAGCGCCACCTAGGACACAGGTAGTATAGAGTGGTTATTATTGAAAGGAAATTATAAAACATCAAATCAGATTTAAATCAAATGTGGTCAAAAGATCTGGATTTGAGATTACTACTATAATATACATATATGTAATTATAACTATAATATAAAAAACAATTGATTCCAAATACTAAAGGTACATTTACAGGGTCAAATCAATTTAACTTGATGTATCTAGCAGCAATGGGGTTTACATTTTTTATCAAATGTTTGCATAATTAAATGCAAGTTACAGTACAACATGCTTTAGACCCTATTTCCACCAATCATTAACATTATTCAAACCGTAATTCAAATTTTGGAAATGGTCAGAATCTGGTCATGTTATCAGAGATTAAATGCAAACTACTACAGGACAGGAGCTTCATTCATGGAGGAAGGAAGAAGGAAGTATACACAAACGCACATTAAGCTCACAGAGAGTGCCTAACTGTCACAAACTAGATTGTAAGGATCAATCAATATGATGAAGTGTTTATTGTCAGTTTTAAAGGATGTGACAAGCCGTGTTATGACAAGAAGAAATATGTATTTAATATGTAATATGGAAAAATAGTGATCTTACAGAATCTTGCAGGTTGACAAAATAATGTAAAAAATCCTCATAGAAAATAAACTTTGAGTTGATAACAACTGAAAATGTCAATCGAAGTTAAATGACAATTAGCATTATTTGTATTCTTTGAAGTAATTTGGCAATAAGCAATTTGGTATATTTTAAATGTAAAAAAATACAAAACACAAATTATCTGTGCAAATTACAGATCGAAGGGACCTGCAAAAGTCATGATTTTTATATATAAGGAACAGCAGTCACAAGTTGAAGCTATTCAAGGATATGCATATACCCACAAGGGGTTGACATGACCTGCAACCGGCATGCAACCTTAATATGAACCATCTTTGAAGCAGTTTTTACTGTTAGCGTTTACATTATTTTGTCTTTCCTCGATAATCTAATGTAAGATTAAGATGCAGTTAAGTTACAAGACACTTGATAGCATGTTGAAAAGAATCATGAAAGAAATCAAAAGCGGCTTTATAGAAAACACACACACAACGTACAATACTACTGAGAGAGACAGGACAGATATATTCTGCATGTTGACATGACGTTAATGATATATTAATGATATTGTGCAGCTATAGCTCAACATATTTGTGATGGCTATATCTGCCAAATGTGCATGTGAATATTTATAGGTCAGACGATTTCCGTGCCAAGACTTTACAGCTGGTATAAATCTACACGTGCGGGATTGATGTCAAGTCTATCCATATTGAATGTCAAGAGTGCCTGTTTCTGCCTTCGGTGCATAATAACAAAACTGATTTGCTTTTAAAATAAAAATTTTCAATTACTTACAGACTTCTTTTTCAAAGTGTAAGCGGAGGGTGAGATGTCATGTGAAAAATTATGAAGCGTTGGTTCATAGGATTACAGCTTTCTTTTGGTTTTGATTAAGAGGAACAGTAGAACTGAATTATGTTTATGACATCAAAACTTTTTTTACTGGCTCTACATTTTCTATAAAAGTAGACATGAACTGTGATGTGATGCAAAAAATGTTAACATGTTGCAAATGTTTGGGTTGGTATATACTATATATACTGCATATATGAGCATGTTATTAGCATCCTAATGCTAAGTTTCTACATTTGGATGCAAAAAGCCAATACTCTCTCTTAGTATGTTCTCTTTGCATTCTTTATTGTAGGAGCAATTCGACATTCAATTCAACACTTATTTGCTGTCTTGGATGTTTTCAGTGTAAATACTAGTTAGTCATCAAAGTGGCCAACTCACCTGATCCATGAGCTGCAGGTCAGGGAAGAAAGGGATATTCTTGGCCCACTCAACAGCACTGAAGAGCAGCCTGGCCGCCAGCTCGCAGATGTTCTCAATGCCCATCAGGTTGTTTCCCTGCATGCACTGGGCCCCGTAGCGAGATGTGGGGTAGGGCTCGGCACGTAGCAACAGAGAAATGAAGCCGGATAGGTAGGGCTGGCCATTGTATGGGTCGGTGCCGTTGGTCAGGTATTGTCCTGGGCTGCTCTGGGAGTTCGATGTACGTCCTCGTTGTACAGCTGATGGAAAACAAGACAGAACTTTTAATCTATAAATATGTGACATTTTCTCAGTGTGTCTGTTTTTCTCTTTGCCTATATCTTCATCTCAGTTCAGCTGACAACTGTTAACAGATGGAAGTATCTGTTATCAGGTTGTTATTACACTTGTATGATTTAGAAGGCCTGCTATAACAGTATGAGATACACCTAAACCCGGCCTCAGCACAGTCTGCATGTGGAGTGAAGAGTAACATTCTGTTGCAGGAGCAACAGAAGGGAGAGGAGATGGAAAAGAAAGAGTGAAATTGGGCATGTCAAATGTGTCGGGTGGGGGGTTTACAGAATGGGGTCAAAGGGGGCGAAAAGTGTGGAGACGGGAACATTTCTCTGACTCTTAAATATGTCAGCGCTCGTCTTTTCAGTGGAGCGGTGGAAAGTGGCCAGGCCAAGGCCCTTCTGCACTGCTGTTGTGCATCAATGAGTAACGACAAGCAGCAGCTGGTAAAGATATAATACTTCTTCACACCTACATATGTTATGCACCCGCATATGCATACACACATGCACACACCGCACATGAATACATAAGGTAACACCCCTGACCCCTCCCTGTACTGGCAAATGGCTCAGCCTGAGGCGAAAAGGGCATGCGGAGGCCAAGCACTCGTACACACACATCTACACATACACACACAAATGCCCAACCCCCCCCTGTGGGGTAATGATGATGCGGCGAGTGCTCAAAGGCCCATTTGGAAAACACCTGTTCAGTCATCCCCACTGTCTGACTAATAACTCCATCTACTGTTACACAGAGAGAGAGAGAGAGAGAGAGAGGGGGGGTGAGGGAGAGAGAGGCAATGAAAATGCAAAGGGGGGGCCACGTGTGAGGGAAAAAATGAGGTAGAAGGGTGAAATGGCAAGATAAGGTGGAGAAGGAGAGAGTGAGAGGTGATAAGTTGAGAGACAGGAGATTGAGGGCAGGGAGAGGGGAGAAAGAAAGAAAAAAGGTGCAGAGTTCAATATGTTTGAATACAGCCTGAGATGAGGCTTCAGATAGAGAGTGGTGGTTTACATAAAGAGACAGGTGGAGGCAGGAGGTGGAGAGAGGGGTGAAAGAAAAAATAGAAGGAGGGGTTTGGAAAATGCTTTTCAACTCTGAATCACCTGTCGCCTCACACACAGCAGCTGTGTCAATTGGACGCACCGTGGCACGTCTAAAAAACGAGAGGTCAAATCACTCAAGAGCGTTATAAAAATGCCTTTAATTCTAGCCTGTCTTCTGAGCAGAAAAAATACCTCTGCACAAAAGGTGTTGACCTCAAAGTACTAGTTTTCTCTGCGAACTTGTGTCAACCCGTGTACCCGGAAAAGAATGTGGTCTCCTTTGGCAAACAGCGCTGTCTCACTGGGCTGGGCTGAGCTATGAAGAGGTGTTGCCTGTCACAAAGATGTTGCACAATGGGACATTCCTCATCACTCGCACTCCAGCAACTCTTGTCTTGCTTTGCAAAGGACTGCTGTCAGATTAGCCACACGTGTCTCTGCAGGATTTCACAAACCAAAGAAAATAAATCACTGCTTTGAGCAGCATGGGGGTGAAAGTAGTCCCAGAGCAAGGTGCTGCATTTTCCACAAAGATTACCTGGTCAAACATGTTTTCAGTCATAGACTGATTCTGTCTTTTTCCTTGGGAGGGCAGTCTCCAAAGACTCTTCCCTGACTGTCCATTTCTAAGTCAGAGCACTTCCATAACCTAAAACTGTCACTCTGTCCTGGCTTGTTAATGTGTTTCATCTAAGAAAAATCTCTTCTACGGGGGTGGACAACCTGGTTTCCACCTCTTTTGGGCTTCTCACTAATGCACTGAACAAGCTGTAAAACACATTGTTCCTCATGGAGAATTTATCATATAATCAAAAGTCAATGACGTTCCACAAATTCTATGACCTGTTAGCACTCTGCTGCTTTTGATATGTGAATTCACAGATATTAATTCGCTCTCATATTGATTAGTGGTTAATCCTGCAAAGAGTTGTGAATCTACTTGATCCACTTGACTTTTCAAAAGCCTCATTGTGGGGGTCATTCGTGGCTGAGAGGCAGAGCACTTGCGTACTTCTGACGGAGACACATCACTCTCTGTTTTTCCTCGCCTGCAGCTGGCTGACGAGACAGAGGAACAGAGAGAAAGCAAAGGGTAGAGAGGGGTGATTATGGAAAGGTCCAAAGGAATAGAGAGAGAGACAGACAAGTGTAAAGACAGAGAGATGTAGTATCTTGACATAGAGGAGGGCAGCGAAAGAGCGAGAGAGACAGAAATGACATTACAGAGAAACAGATGCCTGAGGATAAGAAAAAAAGGAAACCAGGGTCAGAGATAGAGAATAAAAGGGGGATGGGAGTATGAAGTCAGATTTGGGTGTCTGCCATAAGCTGTTTCCTGCTTTTTAATTGGTGCACCAAGGCTTAGCGTAATGTGATTGACTGACCTTATCATCTGACAGTAATAGGAGAAAAAAGCTTGAAAACTTAACAATATACAGTGACAAATCTGATACCAAATTTACAGCTGAAAAAGCACTAAAATCCCTAAAACCCCAAACAAAGCAGCATCCCGTGTAGGTAAAATGAGGGCACATGAATGAGGGAGAGGAGGAAAGTGCATGCAAACAGAGGTACCATGGGACATTTCAGCTGCGACTTTCAAAATGCCACTTCAGCAAATGGCAGCTGGCAGAGTGCACAGTTCGCTGCCTGGCTGCCCTGGATTAGCCTCTGGGTCAGACTGTTAGTGGAATTACAGCAGCTAAATACAATTAAGGCCTATCAACATTTGGACTAAAAGGTCACGGTGCTGGGGCAACACAGACGCATTATAGATTTGGCTCTAGTCTAACAGTTGCGTTTAATAAGTAGCTTTTCCATTTCTAAAGCTTCCATTGGCGAGTGAAAAATAAACACGATACCCTGCATGAACCTGTGCCTGTGTGTCCACGTCACATCTTGCCACTGCTCAACTGAGCGTGTGTGTGTATAAGGGAGAGAGATTAGAAAATTCTGCAATCAACAAAACATCAAAACTTAGTTTTATCTGCTGAAAAAAAACTAAAGTAAAAGAGTGATATAATGTTAAATGCTTCAGTGTGTATGTCACTGCAAGCCTATGTAGATGTACATGGGTGTGATCCTGCTCAGAGGGCAGTGTGTGATGTGACACATGGTTAATATCCATGTGGCTCTCGTAGTTTTATTTTGGCCCTGAAGTTTGACCCGCAGGTCACTGCTCTGCAGCAGGGCAAAGCTCGAGAAGAGAGTCAGATAGGAGGAGAAAGGAGCTAATGTGTAAACCAGGTGAGAGATAGAGATAAAGAGAGAAAGAGACGGCTGAAAAATGTAATGGTACTGAACAGAAAAAGTAAGGGAAGTGTTTATCGATTGAAATACCTGGCAATGGGTTTAGTGTTAAGCTCATGATTCCAATATGCTTTTATTTAGAAATTATCATATAGTTTGTCAAACAGCAGGCAGTTCTGTGATGCTCTTTTTTGAGCCATTGTGGTTGGTACGCTGTTATACAAAACCCACATTTTTTATATTATACGCTACAAGACCGGACAACCCTCTTTCTCCAAACACTGCTTTTATCATAACTGCTTTTGTCACATAACAAGGTAATTGCAATAACACCTTAAAATGAGCCTTAAGTGTTAATATTTAAGTTTAGTTAGCTCATGTTTTTTTTTACTTATTTCTCTAAAATGGACATGAGATGTAAAGATTCTGTGGACTGACTCAAACTGTCCATGGTGCACAGTATTTGCCCCATTGTGTGGTATTGTGCAAGAGCACACGTTTTGTTTATTCTACAGAAACATTTTGTGCTGCCCCCCCCCAACATTAAACATCAACCCAACACTAGTTGTGTTCAGCACTTCTATTACATTTGGAAACAGTTCTCCATTAAAGCTGTAATAATCAATGGTTCATCTGACTTCTTGTACGTGAAAGGGGCTGTAGTGACTAATCTAAAGAAAATCATTACTGACCCTTTAGTGTCTTCCAGCTCATTGTTTTTGATTATCTGGACAGTAAACTTTACTGTTTTGATTCACTCTCACTGCTCTATCTTTGTACACTACCTGCTCAGCACCAGACAGACACAGTTAGCAACTATCTGGTGAACATAGTGGAGGATATAGCAGCCAATGAGACAAATACTTCCCTCTGGAGTCAGTGGAAAGCAAAAGCCGGATGTGTAAATAAGCAGCTGTTTGCTAACAACTTCGCCATATAAACTCTTTATGTCAGCATTGTGTTAGCTGTAGCTTGTTTCCGCCACCTCCAACTGACAAGAAAAAAAAATAAAAATACACTATTGTAGTTTAAAAGATAAATAGAGCACAGCAAAATATCTGTTCATAACAATACTACTCTCCTTCTTCACATCTCCTGAGAAATTATTGAGAACAAGCCATCTGCACACATCTGAAAGAGGACTGGCTCCGTCCCCAGTTGTGTGTCGAACATGAAAGAGCAGAGGTATGCAGCCAACGTGAGAGACACAACAGAACGAGAGTGCAGAAAAACCGGAGGCAGTGCAGGAGCGGGAGGGAAAACAGTGACACAGACAGAGAGAGACAGAGACATGGAGGGCAGAGGAGGTTTGCGTGAGGAAGTTTGGTAGCTTTGCTTTGTGGATACAGTTGCCTCCCTCTCCCTCTCTCAGACTTTGATGAGGCAGTTCCTGCATTAATTAGTAACCAAATTCACCCCGTAATCAGTGACTCTGATTCACGCTATCCTTATTTACACTTACACACACCCCCTCCTCCTCCTCTTTATTACTTTATTTATTACACAGTGGGCCCAGCATGTCATTTATATATTGAGCTGTGTTCTTTTAAACAGATCTTAGCTTGTGTTATGATCATCACAAAGTGAAAATAGTAGCCATGATTTGAATTATATGAGTTTTTGAAAGCTGACGGTCCTGGAGCTAGTCAAATGGGCAATACATTTAAATGGCCAGTTGACCCACCCAAAACATATACTCGCACTTATCCCCTGTGGCATCTAGCCAGCTATGCACATATTTTGGGTTTAATTTATTTGGGATTAGGAGATATCTTCCACTGAGACTGGATTTTAGTTTTAGCTTCACATCAGTTCTACAATTTTTTTATTAAATTATTTAATTCTCTAACTTTCTGTTGTATTTAATTTATCTACATGGCTGGAAACTACAAGGGGTTAAGTTGGGTAAAGAGGGGTGGGAAATTGGTGAAATGACTCTTTAGTAATAACTATGGTCAGAGAGAGGAACCTCCATTAAATTTGAAGTGAATGACCAACCAATATATTTATTAAGAAGTCAATAAAATTCTGTTGATGGACAAATAGGAAATGTTTGTTGCAGCTGCGCATTCTGGTTTCTTCTGCTTCTTACTGGCATTACTACCACTGCACTTCCACTCAGACAGCATAGATAAGATCGTCAACTAAATGCCTAAAATATAAATGTGCACATATTCCCCACAGTGCTATAATACAGAATGTGTGCCAGACTGAAGCAGAAACCTTGTTGGGGGTTAAATGTTACTGACAGTGACTGACAAATTCTGTGCCTCTCTCACCACAGTGTGTTATTACAAGTGACCTGAGTGACACACAAAAACAGGTTGAGCTACTTAAGTCACAAACAGTCCAGAGTCAGTCAGTATGTCAGAGTGATTGACTAAATACACCTGAGAAGGTCACCTTACGTTTACTTTTGTCACATTAGTGATACTGTGAGATGTGCAGGAAAAAAAGCATAACCTTTATATGGATGAGGTCATTGAAGCCTCCTCACCTTGATGTGTCCAAAAGCATTAAAAAACACCATCATTCATCTATTCACCCACATGCCTTAAGTAATATTAAAGTTAGCCTTGAAGTGCTTTAATGGAGGCTGGGCAGTACAAAACGATATGTCAATGGAAGCCATTTTCCTCTGAGAGCCCTCTGATAATGACTTAGCCAACGACTGTGGTGACAGGGGTTAAGTATTTGAATTTGTCAATAGCTAAATTACTGGGATAGGTAAAGGTTTTTCAGAGCCAAAGGAGGCCAGACTGCTGTGTTTTGGTGTTAAATTGCTCGCTGTTACAAGCCCACTGTGGAGTATGGATTAGTCAATACACGCTGTCTGTTACACTTTAGTGCACCAGTGGGGTATTTACTCACTGGAGAGGCCCTAGTTGGTTCACACATTTGGACTTTGACTTGAGCCTGTCTGTTATTAATGTTTTAGTTTTGGTTGACCTATATTTTCTGCTGCTGTTGGTATTTTGTCAGAGAGCAATATGGGTCAGAGGAGGCAGCAGCCTTCCAACTACGCGTGTTGAATGTGGGAATTACAGATCCATGTGCTACAAATGGATGTTGCTATCGCTCTGCTCTTTCTCTCTCTCTCTCTCTTTCTCTCTCTCTCTCTCTCTCTCTCTACTGTCTGCATGTTTATGGTGAGCTCATAGCTGCCCAGGTGTACGATTCAAGACCTACACAAGAGACATTATCACTGTGTACAGCACAGTAAATTATACCCAAACGTGTATATTGGTTCTCAGTGAAGACAGTAGCTCATCCTTGTGGGTTGTTTCAAAATTAAAACATTCACTCCAGTTCAAAGGAGCTGTCAGACTGATTCTTCTTGCCTCCCTGCTTCCTATTCAGCCCAGAAAGTACACTGACAGGGAAACAAGTGCAGGTTCTGTGTTGCTGCGTGGTGAGACAATGACACTAACGCTGCCAAGGTTTTAGGGGTTTGACTCCCACTGAGGCCAGCACAGAAATGTTTGCTGTCATGGTGCTGAAAGGTGCTCTAGATAAAAGTCTCCAACAAATGATATGATGTTCTACACAGCAGTCTGCAGAAAGAGGTCAAACGTCCCCTTTGGGAAAAAAAAAAGAAAAAAGAAACACTCACTTGAAGGAAGTTCTAAATGTGACGCGGTCCACTCATGAAACTTTTAGCGTGTCTTCACAGGAAGCTAAATATTAATTTAGTCAGAAAAGTCACGCAGCAGTGTTAGTGATATTAAACGATGCTGTAATTTTTAGCACTGAAACACTTTTTTGTATGAGTTACAGAAGATGCACACTGAGTTAATCACTAACAGGGTTCTGCTAAAAAAATTTCTTTACATAGCCTAACTTACCTAATTTGTGAACGCTTGCTAATCATTATAACAACTCCAGCTGTACTTTCCCTCAAACTTAGTTCCTACTTTGTTGAGATGTGAAGTGCATTATGACCTATATGCTATGATGGAGTACATTTCAAAGTAAGTAAAAAGGTTTCTAAATAATTAATAGCATGCCAAACTCTTTTAGCTCAACAAACAGCATTTTTACTTGTGAATCTTCCAGATCTTCTGCTTTATTTTGACAGTAACTTCTCAGTAACTTTTGGATATTGTTGGAAATAGAAAGAGAAATATCAGATGCATATTTTACCTGGATCATAACTGAGAAAATGCGTCCCCTTGACAACCTTAGGTGAACCTGTTGAATAATGTAGAGTAAAACATGACTTATGTATGACCTCTGGGGAGAAAGATAGCGGCTGTGTGCTTTAACAGTCCTGCCACTTTTCAGTTGACACCCTCAATCTTTGCATTCAGTGTTTAATTCACTGTAGATGTTACAATAAAATAATGATGCCAGGACTTTTTGTTTTAAACATTCATAAATATTTATGTTAAAACAAATATTCAAGTATTTCTTTGTTGTTATTTCTGCCTTGTAGAATTTAACTTAGAATTTAAAGTGCAAATTATTTAGAATTAATTATGATCACTACCTTTCTCACCTGCTCATTTCACACTATTTAACTATTTATGACAATAAATACAGTTTTTTTTTAATTTTCTACTTTTCCGAATTGTCGTTGAAGTTGCTGGACAGTGTAGACAAGTAGACAAATGACCTGGTAAACCGAAGTCAGTCGACAAAGAGGATTTAAGGACACCGTTTAATCCTGCTGACCTCAAACGCACCAACAAAATGAGCTCAGCCAATGCAAGTTGACCTGCTCCGAGCCTTTTGCGCACAACTATAAGCCAGCACTGCAAAACAGTTTCTCTATTAAGAAGTCAACAGACAATTACTTTGAAATCTTAAACTCTTTTCAACTTATTTATCCTTGAGTTAGATGACATTATCTCCTTTTATTTTGACGTGCTACGCCACTTTTAAGGGAATTTTGGAATCTGAAATTGAATTGACTGAAACGATTTCTTCCAAATGGACTGATGTTTTTTTTTTTTTTTTAGTTATTAATCAAAAAGAGATTGAATTACTTTTTAGGATGAATACTTGTAAACTAATCTACAGCCTATAAGCACATCCTCATAATGTTATCTCATCTAAATAGCCAGACTAATCCCTTTTCACGCCATTCTCATTTCTCATGAACAATATGCAGCTCTCAATGCTGATGGGTCGGCACTGCAAAAAATGTCACTTTCAATTAAAAAGAAAGTGAAATAAATCTCTTATTTAGCTAAATAACTTTTCACCTTATGGGAACGTATCTCCAAATAAGACAGATGAGATGAGCTGATTTTCATAGAAACAAAGGGAATGAATCTTTCCTCTACAAACACGTTTTCGCCTGTTTGGATGTTAAAACATTAAGGTTCGTTTTAAGTCTCATTATCAGAGTCAGATGGATTTTTTTTTTTTGCAGTAAAAACACGCTGCGGCGCGTTAGGCGATTTCCTCGGGTTCATTCAGTCGGAAAGGAGCAAGACCGAGTCGATGTGGCATGCGGGTATTTTACATGAGGTAAGACTGTGTGTACAGTGCACACAGACTCACACACACACACACACACACACACACACACACACACACACACACACACACACACACACACACAGACACACACACACACACAGTCAGAGAGGCATAGCAGCGCACTAGCGGGAACCCTTGAGGGATCTTCTCAGGCTCTAAGGAGGACGGGTATTTCCACCGTCTGTGTATTTACATTTTGGCTCAGGCTGAGAACAAAGGGCGGTGGGGTCGTTGTGGAGACATTGACTGCCCTTCAACATCCCCTACCGAAGTGTCCTTGAGCAAGATTGCTCACGGGGGATGCTGCTGTTGACCCTATTCTGTCCTCTGAGAGGGAAAATAAAAGGGGCGAAGTGTGACATCTTCATTACAGACTCAGACTTTTGAGGGTAACTCGGGTCATAAGTGGGTGAAACGCACTTTTGGCACTCAGAAGGCAATTAAACCCTCATTCCCAGTGGCTCACCTGCGTCCAGGTGTGACAGTTGGCGGTGTACACGTTGCTGTTGGCATTTTTCATTCATTCCCCAAAGATTTTATACAGAAAATCTAATGTTCCTACAGTCTTTGGCTGCCTTTCGACCATAAAACTAAATCAGGAGGTTCTTTAAATGATGAATTGATGGCTGGAGTTCAGTGATCGTATCCAACGTGCATAAACACAAAGAAATTAACCTATGAGTAACGTTGCCGACACAGATGTTCAGGGGAAGAACTTTGGGCCCCCTTTTGGTTCACATTTTAAAATATGCACCAATCGCATCGCTCATGAATGGGATCTATCTGCTGAATGATAATTAATAAGGGATGCGCTGTTCTTCACCAACACGTTTCTACCGCTCCTCTTTGGCACTAACTGACCCGTTGTTAATCACATACAATACAACAAATGTAGCGGCATCCTCTTATGGTCAGCTCGGGGTGTCGGTGAACAAACAGCATAATTAAAACAGGGGGGGACAAAGGAGGGATTTCACATAACAGAGCGCACCAGGGTGAATGGTTTAGATTTGGTAAATGAATGTGAAATAAGCATTGTGGTGCCGCAGGTGGTGACTGATTATTTACCCATAACAACAGAGGCTTTGATATAAACTGTATAGAGCATTAGATCAACAGGCATCATTAGGCATATTTTAGGCACACAATCTCTCCCTGGCACTATTTTAGTTTGTTATGTGAGATGACATATTGCAAGAACTATAGGAGTGTTATGTTGGGGTTTTTAAAAGTATTATCTTCATGAGGAAATCTGTCAATGTGGTAAAATAACTGTTTCCGAGTATTTTTTGTTAAACTTTTCCTTTCTAAAAAGGAGATCTGACCTTTTATAATGTGTTGCAAATATATAGTTTCTAAAAAATAAAAAAAAAGAGCAATAAAATAAGAGGAACTGCTGGAAACAAGCACCCCAGCCAATGTGAAGAGTTAGTCACTTGTTTTAAAACAGTAAAATCTTTTACGGCTGAGTTCCAGACTTAATGGCCTGTTAAGATTGATATTTTACAGTGAACAACATTACGCACAACGTTACGCACAGACACACGTTTAGTAAACAACTGTGTCACAACCACACACTGACAACCATCACACACACCTACGGATCACAGCTCTCTGGCCTTACCTTCTCTCCTCATGCCGACTTTGAGGCACTTCTTCAGGCGGCAGTACTGACACTGGTTCCGGTGGTGCTGGTCGATGGGACAGTCTCGGTTCCCCCGGCAGGTGTACGAGAGGTTCCGCCTCACTGAGCGCTTAAAGAAGCTTTTGCATCCCTCGCAGGTGAACTGACCGTAATGCTTCCCACTGGACTTGTCCCCGCAAACCATGCAGTCCACGTTGGGGATCTTGTCCCCGGAAAGTACGTCGTTCCCTGGGGTGGAACCGTTGGGAGTCCCCGGTGCCCCGCCGGGCTCCTGGCCGCAAATCTGGAGCTGAGACCCCGGATCTGCCGAAATGTTCTCTGGCCACTGGTTTACTACCATTGCCATGCTATCCCCAAACACTTTGGTCTTTGTTTAAATCGCAGAAGGAGAGTCAGACTCAGAGTGATACAGATCCGTCTTGACGTCTTGGGAGAAAAACCGAGGGAGGGCGAAGAGGCGCTTCCCACTTCCTCCAGAGGTCAGTCTGAGCTTGTCTGAGCTTGTCTGAGCTTATTTATTTAAAACGTTGTTCTATATTACTGAGTTCTTTCTGTAAACATCTATCAAAGTTTACAGCAACAGCGAGGTATCAACATGATCGATGCATAAGCGCGTAGCCTACAACTCCCGGTGTTCCTCGCTGCGCAGCAATCCATAAACACGTTGCTCCTCAGAATGTAACCTCTTGGAAAAGTCAGTCCAGTAAGTCAGCGTGCAGGCAGCGCAAATACAACGTTATCTTACGTCTCGCTCCCCTTTTAGAATTTGGAAGAGGGCAAATTACACGGAATATAACAACACAACAGTATTTCGCCTCTCAGCCGCTCGCTCCTGTCTATCCACCCGCGCTCAACACGGCACTTAGACTCACTCAGGATAAATTCTGCCTCTTGAATCAAGCTTTATTCAATACTGACCACATCTCACGTTATTCGGTGGATGGTTTGTTTAGTCCCAGCAAAGCTCTTGGAAACAGCATAACGCGCAGTCCCGAGCAGTCGGCGATCCTTGTTCCCCTTGTTCTTGCGCACCGCGGCGAGGTTTCGGATAGCGACGTCAGTGTGCGATATTTATTTACCCAACGCACAGCCTAATATCCTCCGTGGTCGTCAGCGCTGGGGAGATTAAACAGAGAGAGAAGAACAATCTTAGCCGCTCGAGTGTATCGCTTCACCCTTCGACTGCCTGTCCCACCTCTGAGAGTCAAAGCTACAATTTGGGGGAAAGTGTCACTAACAGACTGCCTCGTACTGCTGGCCCCCCTGGCGGCGCTCCATATAAGGTCATAACTGCCAAATAAGGTCATATCCCCTCCCCTCAGCGGGAGAGGTGAAAAAAGAAGGCTCGGTCGTGATTGGCCCCAAAAGTCTGTTAAAAAAGTAAGGCGCGTTCTGATTGGACGGCGGCCGATTAGGGATGCGTTTGACTGACAGGAGCGGTTGTTGTGATACAAGTACTTTAAAGTGGGACTACATCAGTGGGCCATCGGAATTAAATGTGCATCTCGTGAGTCCAGTGTAATAAGCCCGTTGTTAATATGTAATTATAAGTAACTTTTAAAAAGTTAAATAAGCTCTGAAAACGAATTGTGTGGAAGTTGTGCTGCATCTGTATTAATTTTAATTAAATCCTTTAAAGGATAATAAAGAGAAGAATTTAAACTTAATATTGTGTTTTTTCTTTTTGTTACTTAATTTGGATGTTTGACCTTCACTGTGCAGGCTGATGAAGGCTGGGTTCACATTCATGTTCTGAAGGGTGAAAGTATATTTTTGCTTTCCTTAAACGATTTTTTTTACATCCAATCTGTTTTTGAAGCCAGGCATGGTCTAATATGCACAAATATGATGTAAATAGCTAAACCTTTCTGTGAAGAAAACTGGTTATTGTGTGTGTGTGTGTGTGTGTGTGTGTGTGTGTGTAAACTATTATTCAAAGCAGAGTACTTTAATGTGTCTTTAAACATGTGTGTGTGGAGTGGATCTTTCAGATAGCCTATAAGAAAATATGTGTGTAGGCCTACTGTCTGCTTCTAGGGTATTTTAAGGGTATTTTGATGACATGAAATAAACATTTATGTTTTCTCTGAAAATATAGCGTCTTCTTGTTTATTATTTTGCCCTCTGATCAACGACTGGAGGTCATAGTTTACCAACCGTTTTATCTACCATGCAGCCCTGCCTTGTAATCAATCTTGTGTCAGCTGTCTAGTGCATGTAATCCCACTGATGTTGTCTAATAAGACTGGTATCAACAAAATCCTATTTTACCCCACGTACAGTCTTAAATATTCTACCTTAAACTGTGCCAAAAAATTAAAACAAAAAACAAGAAATCTTGCAGGTTGATGGATGAACATTTGAAATATTACATAACACGTCTCGCAGCTGCACAGAGTCAACAATAACAAAAGGTGCCAAACTTCTCACTAAGCCATACAAACTCCCTAAATCATTTACCAGTCGAGAAAGTGTTGATTTTGTCGGTTTGTTGCGTTATACAGTCTCTGCCAGCGCACAAAAGGCCACTGCGGTAATTAACAGTGACAGTGTTGTTCTCTAATGGGGTTTTGTCCACGCCGAGAGCAGCGGGGACCTGATTATTTCTCCAGATAGGCTCTTGATTTGTCATGTGAAGGTAATTCCAACAACACGGCTGCCAGGGGGTCGAGTGTCCCACCGCCCCGTGCTGCATGGGACCGAGGTTTGATAAGTGATAATGTGTTTAGACACGCTCTCACACTTCCCCTCTCAATGACATGAATCTATTAAAATTGACTCCCAGGTTGTCCTATCTATCTATCTATCTATCTATCTATCTATCTATCTATCTATCTATCTATCTATCTATCTATCTATCTATAGTTTCTTGTTTCATTCATTAATAAACGGGACGTGCGTAAAAGATACATACATGTTGTTGTATTTTTTTGCCATTAAAGTGCACCCACACATTTGGTAAAGTCATAATAATAATAAGAAGAAGAATAAGAATAATAAGAATAATACAACCCACAGATAAATGGAGAGGAAGCGTAAAATAACAGGAAAGTGAAAGAGTTGATCCACACTAAGTCATATTTCCGATATATTTATATAACCAGAGCGCAACAAAAGCGGCTGAATACAAAACAACAGGAACTTAAAGGCTACTTACATAATCCTATCTATCTATAGACAAAAGAGGGGAACTGTAATTCCCAACTTTGTTTCTTCCCAAAAGGAAAGAAAGCGCTAAAAAAGACAAAACCTCACTTAGGGGTCCTGAGTGCAGCGCCGGGCTCGCCGGAGGCCATAAGGTTGGCCCTGCGCTCGGCTTAATTGCTGTCACATGTAACCTTACCTGTCTCCCAATTAGCCCTGTGACTCGCTATTAGGAGATTCCATGAGCTGTAGGCCAGTGACCAAGGGCACCTCAGGGTTTGGGGGCCTAATAATTAGAGTGTAATTCTATACAGCTGAGGCTTATGATGAATTTGACCAGGATTTCACCGAAAAAGGGGTTAATTAAATGAGGATCAACTTCAGGTTTAGTAGTGTATGTGATGTCCACCCCATTAATCCTTCAATAAAGACAACCCACGCTGGCATGTATGTGGCCATTCTTTGTTTTAGGACATAAAGTGTTTTTTCTTGAACAATTATCCCCCAGAAAGGTAAAGCTAAAATTAAATTACATAATAAATTACTCTGGAGCTGCATCCAATGACAGCCAACAGGAGGAAGGAGGGAAAGAGGACCCTCATGTGAGGAGGAGAATGCCTATAGGGTCCAGAATTTTGACCTATACTCTTCATGAGGATTATAGCTTTATTTGGGCATTCGAGATTAAACATCTTACATCCAAGCAGAAAGTTAATATTTGGTCATATTAGCTGACTTATACTGTAGTGCAGCAATGTTTTCCTCGCATATCTCTGAATTAAAATATGACCTAAATAGGGAAAGAGCAACTAGATTCATTCATTTTTACACAGAGAGATGGCTGTGGATTTTGTCCTCCTTCACTAACATTAGAATTGTATCAGGAAGGGGTCCCTGCTTGGCCAGTGAGGACATGAGGAATTAGAGCACCCAAACACTGTTTCGGTGTACATATGGGGATGTGAGATTGTTTTAAGACGGACGTGATAAAATGTGATATTATCCTTTGAGAGGTTTTGCATGAAGATGTAAATTTTTGTTTCAAAAGCCACTTTCCAACTCGAGATCATAACCTGTGCGTGCCAAGCAAACCTGGATCAAACAGCACTTGCGAGTCTTGTTTCATCCTCCATCAAGGCTTACAGGGGAGTCAAGGCCACATAGCAACGTGAAAATGTTCCACAACAATAAGTAGAAAGTGGACGATGAATTTCTTTTCTGACTGATTGAACTGATGCACCTTAAATTCTCTAATGACAGTAATCTTAGCCCGATTAAAAGCATCTTAAACAAATGTATAGAATAGTTTGATGCGCATTGATGGATGGCTGGACCAACTGGTGCGAGAGGCTCTGACACACGAGGGTGTCAGGGTGGGGGCAAGGGGTAGTAAACATGACCGCACCGGATGGCCTAGGAAATGCAGAGGCCACCGGTTTTCTTGTTAATTTATGGATGGCCTGACAACACCAGAGCCCACAATGCAATGCTCCGCTTCAGCCAATGCTAAATATGATCCCATTGAGGAAAGGAGCCATCAAGTGACCAGGTATGTAACCTGAGCGTGTTACTGAAATAGAAATTCAAAGCTAAGAATGACATGTTTGTTAGGGGGTCTTACGTCTGCAGCCCGTGTCTTGCATGACCCGTGAACAGATACTATCTGAATGCTCTTGTGCTCACAGGAGGTTAATCGCTGATGTGCTGCCCTAGAAAGGCTCGCTGATGGATGGACAAAGAAGACGTACATTTACAAAAGAATGTGCGTATGCTTGTGTACACCAATGAGACATCATGTGAATAAGTGAATGGTGTCTAACCTAAATTTTAGCATCTGAATCTCCTTCAGAGACATTGATGAAGAACTTAAGGGAACTTAATTTTTTGTAAAGCACGTTGTAATTAAATTCTCATTATGCAGGAGTGAATGGCCCCACGCTTCTATACACACACAGCACTGGTTTACACTGTGCAAATGTGCCAGGGTGTTTACTCACTGCAGAGACACAGAGCTGAGGTTTTGAAAGTCAGCGCCGTTTCCTTTGGCCGATTGGGGTTGATTAAGAGGTTAACTGCGGAGAGGCATGGCGTCTTTAAGGGAGATTTATCTGTTCCTGCTCTGACCCCTCGGGGGTAGCTTCCCTCACCCCCAGTGTCCCCAGGATTTATTTAGTTATTTGTTTATCTGTTGGAAGGGGTCACCCTTTTCTCTGCACTACATCTCAGCCCTGTTTGTGCATCTCAAACCCATTTTTCATCTCGTTTCTTGTGGGATTGTGGCGCTGGTTCCATTTGCTGACTAAGCGAAGAGGACACGAGCGAAGGCCCCGCCGAGTCTCGTGACCTTTAACATTTGGCAGCGATACACTCCCAAAATTGGTTATTTTCATTTAACACGTATTTTGCTATCTGTTCAACTTTGGCCCCCATTTGGAGGAATTATGGTGTTTTCCTAATTGCTTCCTGACAGTTTTAATTCAGCTCCACTTTAATTTATGGTCTTTTATTTCCTATTTTTGCATTATTTCATTCAAGTGCTTGCGTATGTTACACAAAGGCAGTGAACCATAGCTTATAATCCTGACAGATGAAACTTTAGTTTATCATTTGACAAAGGAAAATGTATAACCTTCCCAGAGTTTTTTAAAAACATCATCAATACACATCACCATTTTATTATTGCAGCCCGGCATCTTCTGTTTATTTACTTTTGCTATTTAGATTCATCACAGTGTCAGAACATCGAAAACAATTTCCGAGAAGTGAAATATATTAATTTATTTAATTTCAGATGGTTTTTTACTGTAAGTCAATAGATTCAAAATGATTGCATTTGCAAACACAGCTTTTTAGGTAAATATCAGGAATTCACAACCATGTTAACATATTTTACTACAATGCTACCAGATTAGACCTCATTTTGTATTTAAATCTTGCTTATATACAATTTTACAGTTACATTTCTGAAATTGGTTGGCAGAGAACACTTCACAAACCACCCTCGACAACGTAAAATCCTCAAGTGATTGCTAGTACTCACTATCTCTCAAAATGTCACACACACGCTTACTCAGCCGCACATACTCTCACACCTCTTGTGTAAGGAGGTTTGTCACTGTTAAGAGGCAGCAG